AGAGGGCAGTGTCACTGGCCCTCATATGTGGGATCCGAACCGGGGCCCTCTGGCATCCCAAGCGAGTTCTTAACCATCGCGCCACTCGGCCGGCCCACGTTGGTTATACTTTTAACCAACGGAAAGTGCTCACTCCTGTGTAATTAATACAAGTTCCTCAGAAGTCAAGGGCGAGGATATTCATTATGAGTTCATTAAATGAGCAGAGGTCCATTTATTTTTGCACATGTACATGTTTTAAATTTACACCCAGAATCCAGGCTCTAGAACGAGGGTGGGAGGTGAGACAAGTGCCTGTGATGCATTGGCTCTAATGGGACATTCCCCTCTCCCTGTCCCTCAACCTCTGCCCCACTGACCACTGCTTTCTCTTTGTCCTCTGCCTCCTCCGTCCAGGAGAGCGCCCCTTTGCCTGTGACTGGCCAGGCTGCGACAAGAAGTTTGCGCGCTCTGACGAGTTGGCCCGCCACCACCGGACGCACACGGGGGAGAAGCGCTTTCCCTGCCCGCTCTGCTCCAAGCGCTTCACTCGCAGCGACCACCTGACCAAGCACGCACGCCGCCACCCTGGCTTCCGCCCGGAACTGCTCCGGCGCCCCGGTGCTCGCAGCACCTCGCCCAGCGACTCGCTGCCCTGCAGCCTGGCTGGCAGCCCAGCACCCAGCCCTGTGCCCAGCCCGGCCCCTGCTGGCCTGTAGGGCCCAGTCCAGCCCCGCTTGGAGCACCAGCAACAGGCCTGCTGTCCAGGCCCCAGGGTGGGCACAGACTAAAAGCCACCTGGCCCCTTCCAGCATTCCTCTGAGGGCCTTAAGATGCCCATTCCCCCTCCAAGAAAGCATAGTGGGGGTCTGAGACTGGACTGGGGTCACCTGGACCTTTGAAGCGGCCCTCAGGAGGGGTGGCTGGGACCCATGTCTGTAAATAGCCATGACTAATAATTCTTCCCATCTGTTAAACTGGGACTCCAGGGGCGGGGGTCGCCTGCAGGTGTTCTCTTCCCCCCTTTGCCACTTCCTTGCTTTAGGGGTGTGTGTGGGCCTTGGGGGGGGGCAGCCTGGGAAAGGCACCCCCTCCCTAGTGCTTGGACTCGGCCTCCAGGTCTTTCTCTCCAGGTTGAGATGAAGTGTACACAGAGCCATAGAGGAACCAGGGGTGCCTGAGGTCCCACCTGTCCCCATCCCCACCTGCCCTGGCCCCTCACCCTACCGAAAGCCATTGGAGATGTTCAGGGAAACGGGGTGTGGCCCGGCCACCCCCATTCGGGTACTCAATCTCAGGTGTCCATGGGTTCTGCCCCACTGCTCACCCACGGAGGGACCTGTAGGCCCCATAGCCGTGGGAACAGGAGGGGAGGGGAAAGGTTTCCTTACGGTCTAGGTTTTGCTTCTGAGATGGGGGAGGGAGGGGGAGGAACCAGGGTTTTTCCAAAGAGTGTTTGACTCACTTTGAGGGGGGGCTGATACTGGGATAGAATGAATGCTGGCTTATTTATTTTCCTGTGTCTGCTGGATGGGGGGCCTCGCTGCCCCCATGGGTGTGTGTGTGAGTGAGAAAGATGGGGCAGGGAGTCTGGTGCCAGACCCACTCATGCAGGGGTAGGGTCCCTGACTAGCCTTTCCACAGCATCATGTGACAATCATCCCCTCCCCTTAGGGACCAGACAGCCACTGGGCGAAATACACCTCTCAGCAACCTGCAAGTGGAGGTGGGAGCCCTGGCTCCATCCTGCTCCTGGCTCTGCATGTCCCCGGGGGTGGCCCGGACCAGCAGTTGACGTCCTACCCATGCAGACCTGAGGCAGGAGGACTGGCCCCGAACCTCCTGGGAATAGCTCGTTTTTTTTGGACCGGGTAGAATATTTTTTCAGGCGCCAATCCCTTTCTTGATCCGGGCCTGTGGGTGGTCCGTTGTCCTCAGGGGGTGTGGAGTGTGGGACCGCATGATCTGAATTTAGGGTGGGGAGTGCCTCGTCCTCTCCTGTTGGAGTTTGTTGGATTTCATTTTGGACAGAAACTGAAGATCCCTGCCCTGAGGTGGGAAGGGACCCAGGCTCTGTGTCCCTAGATCCTAAAGGGCCTATTCCTCCACCGTTGGCTGAAGGTTTGTAGTACCCCTGTGTGTTCCAGAGCCCCCTAATTGGGGGCTGGGTGGTTTGGGTGGCATTGCAGTGGACTCAGACCCCAACCCAGCCTGGCAGGATCCAGGGACAGGTGCCTGGGGTCCTGGGGAGGGGGTGGGAAGCCCTTTTGGAGCTGGGCTGGGGAAGGTCTTTGGTTCCCACGTCTGGGCTGGACCTTGCTGGCCTGGTCCATCTGCCCTCAATCCTTCTTCTCAGAGGTAGTGAGGTGCCTTTGTCTGGGGGGGCAGCAGGGAGCAGGCCCCGATCATCCTTGTGTTGGTGTGGACATCATCTTGGTCGTCACAGACCTGGCCAGGTGTCTGTTGGTGGGAGGTGGTCTGCTGGACCCAGGGCTCAGGAGGCTGAGAACTCTATCTGGGTCTCTCCAGCGGCCTAGAGAGACCTGCACCCTTATGCCCCAAGGGACCGGTGGTTAATTGGGACCTGGTTCCAGCCACTAAGCTGTTGTCTCTTAAGGGTAGGGCCCTTAGGGACTCGTGCTTTGGGGTGGTGCCCTCCCCCCTGCCTGGCCTCATCCTTGTATTTAATTAAACAAGCTCTTTTTTAACCCCCATTTAGTGCCTGTGTGGTTTTTTTCCCCATTGCGGGCCCCCAGTGGGTGGGCGGTGGGTCTTCTGAGCCCTTCTGTCCTGCTTGCCCGTGTAGCTCCAAGGTCACCAACCTGGGAAACCTGAGGCAGTGAGCTAGTGAATGCATGGACCTGGTGGGGTTCTTGGTAAGTCCACAGTGGCTGGGACACAAAATAATGCCTCCCGTAGCAACGCCCACTGTTGCCCTGTGTCACCCACACCTCGCGCAGCTGCGCCCCCCGCCCGCCTTCCTGCCCCGTTCCCTGGCAACCGAGGCTGTGGCGCAGTGACTTGGCTCTAGGGGGTGTCTGCCGCCTGCTCCTTTCCACCGTGTGGGAGGGGGGTCAGGCTGTTGGGGGATCCCGTGCCCCTGATGCCGCTGGCTGGAGCGACTGGGCTCCTCCCCGGAANCGGCCCTGTTCCCCCCATGGCTGCGGATCTGTCCCATGGCCACTCCCACTGGCTCTTGGTCAGCTCTGCACCCCCCACTATGGGTCCTCCTTTGGGGGTCTTATCTGACTGCTGGTGAGGCCTCCCTTCTGTCTGTCTTCCCCACTACCTGCCCCCCTACCGGTGGGCGTGTTCCTTGAAACAGGGCCTGCTGTGTTTCGGATTGGGCCCTCCCAGTGTGTTACCCATGAGGTGACACACTGAACCCGCTCTGGCCTCCCATGCTCCCTTTCCCCCCATATGCATCTGGCTCCCTTCCTACGGTGCTCCATCCAGTGCTATGAGGGTTGTTGTACACGTGCGTGGGTGTCCCGGATCGCGTGTCCACATTCTATCCACACACTTCAAAACCCCTGAGCATCCGGGTTCAGGGGGGATTCCAGCGTCCCAGGTACCTGGGGCTGGGGCCCCTAAGGCGCAAGCTCCGGATTCCCAGCCCCTTTGGCCTGGGCGTGGTGGGGGTCCTGGGTGGACCAAGTCTAAGGGTGGAGGCCTTGGCGCTTTCGGCAGACTGGGGAGACCCTGGGGGTCAGACTGCACGCAGCAAGGTTCTGGGCAGAGACCCCAGACAGGGCGGGCAGTAGTAGGGATGGGGGGGGGCAGGGATGGCGGAAGCTCCCAGGGCAGGATGGGCGAGGCGGGTCTGGGCGATGGGTGGGGTCTACGAAGGAAGTTGTAGGGTGGCTGCCCGCGCCCCCCCTCCTGCGGGGGCAGGGCGAGTCCAGAGGCAACAGTCGCTGTGCCCTGGTCCCTTCCCAGAGGTGTTGTGCTCTTCCTGCACCAGGTTGGGCTACTGGGGCCGCTATACCTGATTCTGCGGGGCTACAGGTGGCCCGGGTGATCCTTCACATGTCCCTCTGCTTACAGAGGGGCCACGGGCGTCAGCAGGGAGGGATGGCGCACGGGAAACTGACCAGACTGTGCTCTCCATTATGCGCCCCAGGTGGTCATTTCCAAAAGGAGTGGATTTAACTGGGGTCTCCGAGAGGCTCCGGAATGCTCTAAAAGAGGGGTGGAAGGGAGTATTTTGGAGGTGGGGACGGCAGGGCCCATTTGCAGGAGGAGAAGCCCCTCCCAAAACCCAGTGTACACATCTGTGTGGCAAATACACTACGAGGTCACTGGGGTGGTGCTGTCTAGGTGGGCATGTGTATGCTGTGACGGCTTGGTAGAACCCAGCCTTCGTTGGTTATACTTTTG